AACATGCTTTATGATCGAAAGAGTGTTGGTGTAATTTTTGCATTTATTTTATCCAAAATGCCCATACGAAATTCAAACTAAAAGCTCCAGCTCATCCTACAACCAAATTAGCTTATAATTTAAGAGAATGTTTTTTTTCACCTAAAGGCACAAATCTAGAGGTTGGCCGGTGAAAAATTAGAACTTTTATTTTTGTAGGCCAGTCTCATGAGCATCCATATGACTGTCATCCAATTAAAGGATGATATTTAATTGAAAATGGCTGTACAACATACAGCACTCAGATGACAACAATTTAAGAATAGGATGTCTTGCAAAAGCTTTAAATTAGATTTATAATTCGATTGTTTACATTTCCATACTGAATAGCCATAAACAGCCACTCCAATATGGAGACAAAAATCCTTTGTTGGTAAAAGGAACTTCCTCCACCACGCAAAAGACAATTTTCGGTTTCCACGCTTTACCAATGTTTTTACCATATCTGATAGCGATGACTATGTTTATACCTCGTTTGTCAGCACAGATCAGCAAATGACGTTCGATAGAATTCATTTTGGATGATTTGCGTTATGGGGCAGAACCAATACCATATGCATTTCAATTTTAGATGGCAATCATTCTGCATATAGCATTACGTATTACAACTAAGGTCCTCTCGCTTCTCATATCAATGTTCATCCTGTATTCGAGAGAAGCATCATCTGATTGGAAAACAACTGTCATCCGGTAGCAGTTATCATTCTAAAAAGCGATCGAACAGAGGATGATGTTTAATATGGACCAACAGGTCTGTGCCATAAAAAGGGAGAGGATGATGTTTTTTTGAGAAGTCGGAATGCGTCATCCTCAATCGATACTGGAGAGATTCACTTCGAAATCCAAGCAACTGAGGCTGAAGTATACATAAATGTGATATTGAGAACTGCAGTTTTAACGTCAGTAAAGAAGAAGACTGTAGCATGAAAGCAAAAGGCAGTGCTCGGAGCCCACTCCTATAAACTCGAGCAACTTAACATCGACAAAGCAGTGCCGAGCATGAGACTGACTTGAGGTTAACTCTTGCCATTGATTGATGCCGATATGATAGCCATACAGGATAGGGTAGTAGTAGTAGTAAAATTCTTCTTTATTTTTGATTTGTTATGTGGTTTACAATTGCTAATACAGGGCAAGAGGTTAGCCGGAAGGGCTCTTCATCTTTGGTGAACTTTTTGATTTTGTGTTGTACATGTTGTGTTTTACTGTGTAATGTTTTTCAATTTTCTTCTTATGAAGTATGTTGTTTGAATTTTTTAATTTGTTATTCTACCTACTTAACCTAATTTAACCTAACGTGCCAGATCTCTGACGATCTGTTGGTCGGGTCGCCTACAGCAATCTCTGAACCTTGCGATGGAGACAGCTCTCCGTAACTCCAGTGTCTGAAGACCAGCCAGGCGGTGAACCTCAGAGTTTATAGTCCGCGGTGGACTGTTGAGGATCATTCTCAGGATCTTGTTCTGGATCTTTTGAAGTTTAAGATGGTGGCTTTTTTGCGCAACTCTCCCAGATTGGCATCCCGTATTCTATTACGGGAAGGATTTTTTTTTTCTTTATTTTTGTGATTTTTAGCCGTAGGCTAGTTCATCACATGCGTTACGGGAAGGATGATTTGTTTGTAGACAGCAAGCTTATTTTTCAGGGACAGGGTAGACCTCCTGTTGATGAGTGGAAACAACGATTTTATCAAGATGTTGCACTTGGTTTTGGTTTTGTCAACGTGCTCCCTGAAAAGAAGCTTGCTGTCTAATGTTAGCCCGAGGTACACGACCTCTTTGGACCATTCCACCACTGAGCCGTTTAAGCAGATCTTATTATTTTCAGACGGAACAAGTCTGGGAGATTTTGAGTGTGGAAAGATGATGAGCTGGGTCTTTGCCGCGTTGATACGGATCTTCCAGCTGTTGAAATATTCAGACAGGACGTCCAGGCCTCTCTGAAGTTTGGCAGTCAGAGCTCCGATGACCCTACCCTTGTAGACGATGGATGTGTCATCTGCGAACAGAGACAACGATCCACCATCAGGGAGAGCCGGCATATCGGAGGTGAACAGGTTGAATAGAATGGGGCCAAGGATGCTTCCTTGTGGAACTCCGGCACCGATGTTGAAAGCATCCGATGTGATGCTATTCAGAGAGACACGGAACGTCCTGTCCGATAGATAGTTGTTTATTATCTTCACTAGGAAGATTGGAAGACCGTACTGCTGTAATTTGAACACCAGGTCATCATGCCAGACATTGTCGAACGCTTTTTCAACGTCCAACAACGCCATGGCAGATGTTTTCGAAATAGACTTGTTCCGTCTGAGAATGTTTGTCACTCGAGTCAGCTGGTGGACGGTCGAACGACCTTTCCGAAAACCAAACTGTTCCTCGAGTAAGATGTTGTTTTGTTCGGCAGATGTTAGGAGCCGGTGGTAGACTGCTCTTTCGAACAGTTTTGATAACCCTGAGAGAAGGCTGATTGGTCGATAACTTGAAGGTGAGGACGGATCCTTCCCAGGTTTCCGGATGGGTATGACTTTAGCTGACTTCCAACACGAGGGGAAGTAGCCAAGTCGGAGGCACTGATTAAAAATCAGTGCCAGATGGTTGTAGAGTCTGGAACTCAAGTGTTTGAGTTCCAGATTCAGGATGTTGTTGAAACCTGGGGCCTTCATGTTTTTAGATGGTTTGATATATGCCAACAGTTCGTCAGCCGTAATCTCGGATTCCTCTGGAAAAATGTTAGGAATCTGATGAAGATTGGTTGCATTTTCAGCAACCTCAGATTCATGAGGGCTGACGATGTTTTGTCCGAGATTATGGGAGCTGATGAAATGTTGACCTATCGCTGCAGCCTTCTCTTCAGGAGTTATCAGATGAACCACTGGGTCGCCGGGACGATCCAGTGGGGTCAGTGGTGGAATGGGCCTGGGCTTGTTTTTAAGAATTTTCGTTAGTTTTCAGAAGGGCTTTGCACAATCTGGGAGAGAGCGGATTTTGTTAGCAAAATCTTGATTTCTGAGGTCCACCATCCTGGCTTGGATGGTTTTTGTAAGACGATTGCAATGGGTCTTCAAGACACGCAAACCAGAACGCTGGTATTGCCTTCGGTTGGAGTTACGGAGTTTGATGAGATCTTTGGTAATTCTATCAAGGTTCAGAGTATTGCTCACCTGTCTGGATACTGGCACGTGTTGGTCCCTGGCCCGGGATATCGCCTCCTCGATGGAACGCAGACACCGGTCAACGTCTTCGGGCGTCTCCGGAAGGACACGGTAGTCGACAGTGGAGTCGACACAGTGTTGGAACTGCTCCCAGATGACACGATGGTAGTTGCGTCGGGAAGCTTGGAATCGGTTGACAGATGAGCCTACTTCGGCCACCACCGGATAGTGGTCTGAACTCAGCTCCTGATGGGTCACAGGTAGCGAGGTGTTGTCTCCCATGTTGCTGATGAGGATGTCAATGGTGGAGTGAACGCCAGACCGGCTCAACCGGGTGGAAGAGTCCGGTGCTAATATGGTGTAGCGAGCCTCTTGCAGGTCGTCGTTGAGGATGGTGCCGTTTCGGTTGCGTCGACTATTGCCCCAAGCCTGGTGTTTGGCGTTCAGGTCGCCAGCAATGATGTACTTTTCGCGCCGTCGAGTTAGTTTGATGATGTCCTTCCGCAGGTCTGCTGCTGACCCGTCCCTGATGGTGATTTGCTTGGGGCAGTACGTCGCAATGATGGTGATAGGGCCGACATGAGTGGAGACTTCTACCCCTAAAGCTTCGATGGTTTTCAGCTGGAAGCTCGGCAGAAGCCGACAGCAGATGTTTCTCCTTACAGCAATAGCAACTCCTCCTCTCCCGGAGCTGGTTCGATCTAGTCTTAGAAGTCAGGAAGGTAGACATTTACCTCCGGTTGCAGGTGGGTTTCGGTGATAACGGCAATGTCGATGTTTTGTTTGTTGAGGAACACAGGATAGGGTTATGCCGAAGAGAAACTTGAATAAATGCGATTCAAGTTCCCCTTGTGATCGTCGAACAAATTGATCAATTTTGGGTTACCTCTTTTTGTATATCGAGTTGCTACTCCGTTATTGATGGCTAGTGAAAATGCATAGGGAACCACATAGATGAAGCCTGGGATACGATTTCCATCTTCAAGCTCACTGATTCAGTCTATTTATAGAACAGTAACGGCGCTCGCCACAACCTCACGGTATGTTAGGAGCGAGGCTGAATGACTAGTTCGCCAATCGTTGTTATTTAAGATCGAGTTTACAAGTGCATCTCCAATCCCAGTTGGCGCCGTCGGGATTTTCAGAGGCATACAATCTCTGATAAAGGATAAAGGGAAGTAAAGCCGTTGATCCCCGGTCCATGAGTTCCTGTGTCGACAGGTAGGGTCCAGGTGTGGGAGCTGCCTCCCTGGCGTCGGTACGAGAAAAAAAGACCGGCGGAGAACAAAGCAAGGATAAAGAAAACTAGTGCATCTCCGGGTGGATAATTGTATTATTATGGGTCGGGTTATTTTTAGATCATGATTTACTGTGGTAAGTGATCATGCAATCGGTAAAGCAGTTTGTTTAATATTTATTATATACTATTATACAAAAACGAACGATCGTTCGCAAATTTATGAGCAAAACGTAAGCTAAGTGATAACCATGTAGTTGAAAGTTCGTTTGCTGGAACAGGCTTCAGTTAAAAATTCAGCTCATGAGGTTTACACAATACGTAGTAACGAGTAATTTCGAATGATAAATGTTTTACTTGTTTCAAGGTAAATTTCAGTAATGCTTATAAATTTCAACTGTATACATCAAGTTCATGATCCATCACCACAACACAACTTCAACTCCATCATACTTACATACATTTATATCTACACTCTCAAATTTCAACTCTGTAGACATATCAGATGTATGAATAAATCATCCCCTCACGATATTTTTCATGTTTCAAAACCTCCATTTCAATTCACAGGATTCTTCATTCAATGGAAGGAAACTGGCAAGTGGATCCCGGTGTTCCGACCGGACGTCGAGTGTACAAACGGAGTTATCCATGTAATCGACGCACCTCTGGTGCGTGATCACGACATCACAACCAGTGGCAGTAGCAGCATAAGTGGTTATGCTACAACCGTTGTTATAACCCTTGCAAACACGGTTCTACTGTCGGCTCTGGCATTCCTCTAAGGACCTGCCCCGCAATAGATAGGAGCTTAGATATTTCGAAGATGATAACGAAAAACAAAAAGAGCAGAACCATGGCACCAGAAGCTGCAGCAACATAGGAATATCCTGAACATTTCATCGTAGGATGTTCCATTCATTTTTTTAGGAGAATCAAAAGCACAGCGAAGAGGAATGCAGTAGAGCAGTAAGAACGTCGTAGACCAACATTAGATGATGATGGATTATTTTCTAGCTAGTGACATCTATTTGAGGAAAATCCCGACTGGAAATATTTTTCCTCCGTACTACTTTGGATCGACACCAAGGCGCATCACTGCTCTAATGGGATGAAAAGAAAAACATTTTTCCTCTCCGCGGGATTATTTTTTGCTGGCTGCATACCCTGCCTATCTTTCGAACCACAGCAGCTAGCAGCAGTACGACTTTTGTTCAAATGCTGCCGAAAGAGCACTATTCTCTAGCGAGTGAGGGTGGATTAAGTTCTTCTGCTTCGTTGGTCATATTTTTGGAATGACCCATTGTCCGTATTTTGCTTTTGCCACTCTAGAAAGAAGCTCTTAAAATTTTCCCCCATAATTAAACTGGCTGTATTTATTCGGTCTCTCACTGCACTGCTGCTCCAATTAGAGCCATTTCCAAATATATATATACATATATTTTCAACGATCGACAGCTACGGGGTTACATCAGCTATTAGCAGTTCTCAAGATGCCCCACGAAAGACAGTTAGGTATAATAATTAACGAAGAAGTTTTGATAAAAAAAATATTATTTTTGTGCTTACTTTCGTGATATTTTTATTTTCTTTTTCTTTTACTTTGCCTCTTGAGCTTGTCTTTAAGTTGAGTTTTTTTTTAAACTTTTCATACAATACAAGAAAAGATTAATAAACAAAATACTGCCGTAAAAATATTCAATCTGATGAATAAAGGATGAAACAGGATTTTAAGCATGAAACTCCATGTGAAAATTAGTAACAAATAATAGGAAATCATTGGTCATGTTTTCTATACACGTTCATCGATGTAATGAGGGAGACAAAGCTAGATGTCATACGATGCGATATTAGTCCTACTTTGTACTTTTCCAGAAAAAAAAAATAAGCATGAAAAAATCTGAGGAGTCAATAATGTTCTGCAACTAAACATAGCACGAAGGTATCTTTAATCAATTGAACGGAAATATACGGGAATATTTCGGAATTATTGAACTGTTTCTGCATCACAAACATAGAGGAGCTTCCACGAGCGTAGTTGTTCAAAGAATTCAATGTTTAGTCGCGGAATATAAACGACGGAATGAGATTTTTTTTTCAAACATTACAGTCTTATTTCGTAATAAAATTTGATAATTTTGACACCAAATTACTATTAATTAACCCAAGTAACTTTGTTGTTACTTGAGTTATATTATGTCCCTCCAGAAAAAAAAATATGCATTTCGAGCGAATGACCATAACTTAAACAAAACGTTACGTTCTTAAAACGACCATGCGCATCTTGTTGTTTCAGACGATATTGTATTTCGTCGTATCGATCAGAAAAAAAAACGCAATTTTATTTACACAAGGCATGTGAGTAGAAGTCAAATATAAGGAACATTATCGATCTAGATGTTGCTAGAAAATGAATGGCATTTTTTTCCCACGGAAAGTTTCTGAAATCATCAAGTTGCACAGCATATTTTTTTTTCCAAAATACAGTAGTATTTCATTTATACATAAAATCCAACCCAAAATGTAAATCTGGAATATTCTCGCTTCACATGAAAAAAAAAATACAAAAAAAACAAAGATTTATTTTTTAAACCTAACCTCAATCAGTTGGTGTGCCTTATTGGAGAATAAACAAATGTAAGTATATAAATTAGTAGCAAATTGATCATTATATTCGGAAGATAGTTCTCATCAATTCCAGGAAAAAGATGCCATTAATTTGCTGTAAAAAGGAATGATTTTGTTAATGATAATTATTAGATGATTAACAAAGATCTTTAGAAATTATTAGTAACAGAAAAGAGTAATTTACAACAGAAAAGTGAATGTGACAAATTATTTGTAACCAGAATTTAAGTACACTTATTGCCTTTTCATACAAAATTTAAAAAAAAAATCAATACAAAAAAGAACAGACATTATTCATAAGCTATTATTGCGAAGTGGTAAAGTTTAAAATGAATTATAATAATTAAACGGTAAGATTGATGCTGTAAGACCTTTTAAAGTAGTATCCCACTTTTCTAACTGATATTCTATGCAAATATTTTAATTCAACGTGCTGGATATGTGTAATTGTTTGTGGTAGTTTATGTGAAACAATAAATTTTCTTACAGTAAACAGTAAGATGACTATTTTAAAGACAGAATATTTTGTTCCGTGCGATATTATATTGAGTATATTTCAACAAACCACTACTAACGGTAGCACTATTACTAAAACTATTTTTTGCTATGACTATACCAAAAACAAAACCGCTTAATGGATAGAAATGATCGACTATTCTGTTCAAATAAGCATTGCAACTTCATTCTCTCAACTCTCCATCATTCATTTCTCGATGTTAGGACAAACATTCATCGAAACCATATTTATAATACGGAAAAAAAAGAAATGTAAACTCTCCTGAGCAGATCATTCACTTTCTAGTTCAAATTATAGCATTACACGTTTTAGATAAACAAAAAAGAGTATTTAAGCGTAATAAAAAAAAAATCGTTGGCTTTGAATATGGCAGTAACTAAGAAACTGATCGGTAATCCCATCTCGGAAAGAACAATAGAAGCAAATATACACATGTAGGAATAAAGAAAACAAATTGGAATTGCATCAACTAACTACTGCGGGCGGAGAGTACAGGAGAATGATTGTATAAATTAATGCTAAGTCCAAACTGAAGGTAAAACGTAAAACAATCGTAACTGATGATGTATAGAACAAAAGATGTGAATCCTAGGCATGCGGAAGTATTTCAGCTGGATGATTTGAATCAAATGAAGCGATAATAAACTATTCATACAGTCTGAGATTGATATATGAAATTGGATTGTGAACTTAGTTGAACATGCGAAAAGAAAGCCATTTGTTGGAAATGTATTTACCGTGAACGGTGCCTTTGTAGGGGTACCAGTTACTAGTGGGTTCTTCCTGGGTAATCCCCGGAAAAAAAATCCCGGGATTTGCAGTCATCATAAAAATCCCGGCCGGAATTTGATGTTTGACGCCATTTTGGAATTCAAGATAATAATGATTTACAAATATAAAAGCATTAGATACCCTACAAAATGGGTATTTCTGAATGGTATTTACAATATCACTAAAAAAAACTTCTTAAGACGTGATAGATCTTTATTTACACTTATCCACACGCGAAATCTCATATTTGTTTGATTTGGTACAATTAAAAAATATGCGAAAAACAGATGAAATCAGCGTCAGCGAAAACAAAACCAACCGTTCAAGCAACAACATTCAACCACAGACAAACAGACATAACACTCAGAAGTTGTTCATCGAACAAGCATTTAACGGTCAATCTAAAAGTATCGTAGTTGGTAGTACCGCCACCTGTGGCGCGCATAGTAAATTCCCTTGCATTTGACGTTTACACACTACCGCCATCTGTTCAGCGTACTACCCACCACAGTGTACTCAACAGATGGCGGTTATGTTTTAGCGACGATGTTTTACAGTGATGAATATTCAATGTGTTATGTCTGTTTGTCTGTGATTCAACATTTAACATTTTTTTTTTTTTTCGTAAGGTCACAGGTGCCATGAAAACCCGACCCGAATTCTTCGTGCGAAGCGGTGAGTTTTTCCAAGTTTTTATCTGAGGACTAACAAATTTCTCGCCCATTTTGCCTGGAGTTGTGAAACATTGTAGAAGGATGGTGATATTGGTCGCGAATAATTTAAAGTGAATGTAATAAATGCCTCAGAAGATTCCTTAGGGCCTTTAACCTTTGAATTGTTGCAGCCATAGACAGTGTTAGAATCGATCGCCCTTGTTACTCTTCTACAATTGGTGAAGTGAAAACACAATCAAGAAAGGTACGAAAGTCGTGCGTGAGTAGGTTGCGTCTCTCTACCCCATTTCTACTACTTCCAGATTCCAGGCATAGGTTGCTGTTTTTGCCATAGTGTGGCAAAAGAGAACCGCGTCGTCGACATCGCGCCCTATCCAAACGAATCTGCTCTAAACGGCGATGTTTCCAGCGTTCGACCACAATACTTGAACCGTTTCCGTTCGACCGTCAACCAATCGAATGCACTGGTGAGTGGATGCATCATTGTTCAGCCGAGCACAAGGACGCACCGCTAAATCCAGCTAAACCAAACCACCGAGGAACAAAGAGCCTCGTCTAACAATAGCCGGTGGAATCATCGCGCGCAACAATAACGACAACTGTCGCTTGATCACGCGGGTTGCAAGGGATTTTACCAACAATCAATACGAAACTAACGATTTTAAATTGGTTCACTACTTGACTAGCCTATTGGTCCCAAGTAAACGATTAACGTACCCCATTCTAGTCGAAATTCTAGTACTACACAATGTATGTTTTGATTCGCTATGAAAGTTTGACAGATAAAATGAGAGGTTTCGAGGGGTGAATCGATTAGCTTGGGACCGAAGAGAGTACCAGAGCTGAGCCAAAAAGTTGAGCACGTTTCTTCGGGACCTTCTAGTCTTAGAGTTACCTCTATGATTTTACATCGCACCGGTGACCGCATGTAAGTCGTCAAATATCGTGAGTAACCGCTATATGTAATCCATGTGCACATGTGACGTCGGGTGGGAATCAGTTTTTAGAGGTATCTAGAGAGAACGCACGCCTTAGGAGAACTAGACTAGGCCTAGTGAAATTCCATGTGGTGAGAAAATCGTAATAAATGTACGTTATTGATTAGAAATTGATCTTCTAGTAAATTTGCTCGAAAACCTACCTATATGCCGTTCTAGGGATTAAAGTTCACTGGAGGGATTTTCTTTGCGCTGGTGTTTCGAATTAGTCTTTCATTCAATTTTCTGTAATGATCGTTTATTGTATGCGTGAGTGCGTGAGTACCGCTGATACTATATCAGCAATCCGAGAATAAACTCAGTCAGTGATTATCAGAGCGTGCAAACGATACATCAGTGTTTACCTCCTACTTACATTCGAAGTAACTTCTTAAACCTAATACCCATCATTACTCAGACATTACAACTGGCGAACGAGGTGGAATTTAAATTTTTATAAGTTTATCAAGGAATGTTTAGTTTTGTGTCACAGTGAGTTTTATTTTTGCTAGTGGGTAGAAAGTAAATTTCCAGCGTTACAGTGTACCCAGTTCGTTCACCTCATTGCACAGTGGTTGAAAAGTCCATTTTGACGCTCTTAATTAATAGCACCATGGAGAGTTGATTTAGAGTAATGACGTCTTGAGCAAAGTTGATGAGTATGACATGTTACATCTTTTGAAGGCATGGGTTTTGTGATTAATCCCCCTGAAAGTGAAATGGAAAATTTATTTTTTCACAATGTAAGGAACAAGGATTGGAAGAGGTACATGTATTTAACCAAAATACCAACGAATAAATTAATAAAACTTTTACTAAGCAGATACCGAGAGTTCAATACCCGCAAGCAATCAAGATCGCTTACAAATCGTGATCTATTGAACTGGCTCCTAGTATCATCAGTGCATTGATTACTAGCATTCGTGGATAGCCTTAAAAGCACGAGAAGCCATTGTCGAGTGATGCTAAACAGCTGCTAGCAGAATAAGCTGAATACAATACAAAATATTGACAACAAAAATGCAAAACCAATCAAACAAAAAGTTTTTAATTGAGAAAAATATGTGGATATATTGAGGTTGATTATCTTTTTTTATACTGGTTATATCATAAAACAGAGTTAATATATGGATACTTGTTTTGATCACAACTCTCCAGCAGACGGTCGTGGACGGACAAGCTTACCACCATTTGAAAGCTCTTTTAATGTAGTTTTAGATGCATTTCACTTCATCTGCACCTTCTTGCACCTAAGAAAGATACTCAAGTCCAAAATATGTGGAAAATAGATTTTTTTTTTATCAATAACTCATCCTATTAAAATGATGCAGGTATAGTATGTTCAAGAAAGATGTGTATTTTAGTATACCAATCAACTTTGTTCAACATAGTGAAGACCTAAAATTAAAGAAAATATATGTTTTTATGAAAAACGTGTTTTGGAGGTCCGTCCTCAAACAACGCTCTCTATCTCGATTTAAGTGGAATTTACGACGTTTAAGTCTTCGGCAAAGTTGTTTGTAACCATTTTTTCTACAACTTTGCTGAAGACATCAACCATTTATCTTGACATTGTGAAAAAATAAATTTTCCATTTCACTTTCAGGGGGATTAATCACAAAACCCATGCCTTCAAAAGATGAAGCATGTCATACTCATCAACTTTGCCCAAGACGTCATTACTCTAAATCAACTCTCCATGGTGCTATTAATTAAGAGCGTCAAAATGGACTTTTCAACCACTGTGCATTGGTGAAGCTTTACCAGTTGGGTAATTAAAGTAAATCATCATCTCACTGCAGCGTTTTCTTTGCACACGCGGTGTGAAAAGTTGAAAACAGTGTTTTAAACCTATTAGCTGCATAATTTATGTGAAAAGAAAAACAAACAAAAAACAGGTAAAACTAAATTTATCGCGAGTGCAACGAATTGAACATTTTTGTGCGTATGTGACTGTAGTGCAGATCTCCGACCTGATCGCCATCGTTGCATCAGTAAGTCCATTGTCCATATAGCGCGTGGCTTCGTGTGATTGACCGGGGAGAAAACTATATTGTCACCGTTCATTTTGTAAGTTTGGTTTGTCCACAATAGTTTTGGCCTTTTTCAACTCACCACCCGGCCTAGGGCGCAGTACGCAGTAGTGGTTTGTGTTTTGAATAGACGATATTGTTTGGTAAGGTTGTTCTAGGTCATCTGTTGTGTTGGATATAGTCAGATACCTTACTGGCTAATCAGGTATGTTGTTATCGTTTTATCGTTTTTTCGGTTTAATGTTGTTGCAATCAGTACATTAAAAGTTGTTTTATATCAAGAGAATATTTTATTTGAGCAATAGGGTAGAGTGCTACTTCGTCGTAATCGCCCATTTCCGTTATATCGTTCAGAAAAGATCAATAATATCAATGATTTCACCGTGCACAAATCTATAATAGGTTTGTTCCGATGCGTTAGTTCATTAGCTACAACATATCCGGAGAACTTTGAGATTAGGGCGTAATTGCTTTTGTAAACAAACGCGTCAATCAATGATTTCTCGTGAATTAAAGCTCAATCTTGAAAACTAACAACACAAACAGGTAGAAGAATGACTCCTCAATAATTTGGTATAGCATATTTGCGAGATTGAGCTTTTATTCACGAGCAATCGGTGATTGACTTGTTTGTTTACAAAAGCGATTACGCCCAAATCTCAAAGTTCTCCGGATATATCCTATTAGAGCGCATTGTATGAATGTTTATGCTCTTTGTCCTCAAAACAAAAGAAGCACTCCTAGCGAATCCCCCTTTTCTACGTTTAACCGTAGGACGAAGAAAATCTAATGGCGTTTCAATACATTAGGACGGAATTGAAAGTCGTAGAAAGAATTTAGAATCAATAAGCAGTCTCTAAAATTTAAAACAATATCTCGACAGTTTGTGACTCTTTATCAAATCTAACAATACGTATGGAAAGGTGAATAAATTTAGAAGTCATCTTTGACAGAAATATTTCATTTTTTTTATCAAACCCGTTCAAAAAAGAGAGATTAAGCGGGGGTTGTGCTTAGTAAGACTGAAATTAGATCAAAAACCCTACATGTGTGTTTTTCTTCAATTTTTTAGCGAACCAAAAAGAAGTCTATGTTTATTCAACACATTTTTTTATTTGACTCTATTTATTGTTTAAATATTTTGTCTGTCGAGATTAAATTATTTTCTCAAACAGTGTTAATTTTAAGATAATCTACTACTTTGTTCTATTTGTTGAGAAGG